AACGACGGCTTCAACACGTTTCCGTATGGACGGACGAAAACAGAGGTTTTCAAATACTATGATGTCATACATCATATACCACTAGCATTAACCATGCTCTGTAAGGGATGCTATCGTATCGTCTTAGCGTTTTCGTGTGGACAGGCAAAAACGATTGAAATATGCTACACCTGTACATGTGGGAGTGTATTTTTTTAAGGAGAAAGAGTTTTCTTTCTCTCTTTATATGCTTATTCAGCTTATTCAGAAAGTTCTCTTAAGCACGATTGCCGTGTTTATTTTTGTCTGTCTTTCGTGATAAACACGGTCACGTGATTAACTTCTATGAAGGGCTAATTTCCACGCTAGAAACTGGATTTTAACTGCTTTCATGGCAAACAGCCATTGACAGATTCGGGTATTAAATGGTCACTTTAATTTAATTAGATGTATTTAAGTAGATAGCCAGATGAAGCTTGATGAAGCTTGATGAATCCGATTTCCAGTTTGCAAGATTTGAGTAAAAGAAATAGGTAAAGCTTCATGATGATATAGGTACATGAAAGAACTTACTTGGAGCGAGTAGATACTAAAAACATCAAGAATATTCAAATTTGTAAAGAGAGGTTTACTTGAAGCCTTGTAGTCAGCGTTAGAGATCGTCCGGACTGCTCTTTTCTGTACCAGGTAAATTCGTTGTAGGTTGGTGACATAAGTAGAGGCCCAAATTAAATTGCAGTAGGTAAGATATGGATAAATAGCGCATAGTATAATGTAAGAAGAGATTTTGACGGCAAATAGTATTTAGCTTTATAAAGTAACGCGACAGATTTAGAAATCTTAGGTACAAAAAAATTAACATGACTTTTCCACGCAAGGTGCAGATCAATATAAACTCCGAGGAACTTAATATTATCTACTTGTTCAAGTACATTATTTTCTATAATAATCTGCCTTGTGATAGGTAACTTTTTTTGCCTTGGTCTGAAAATCATTAGTTATGTTTTCTTAACGTTGATTGATAACTTATTGGCTTTTAGCCATATGGGAGGTAAGTACATCCAGGTCGCTATGTTCAAAAAATATACTGGTTTCATCAGCAAATAATATAAATTCGAGTTCATTAGAGCTAGAGCAGGCTGGGAGATTATTGATATAAATAATCAAAAAGGGGCCCTAGTATAGAGCCATGCCGTACGCCACAAATTTGCCCTAAAGCATGGGATTTAGAATCGACAATTTGGACATATTGCATTCTATTACGAAAATAGTCGGTTATTCATTGATAGGCTGTCCCAGTGATGCCACACGCTTCCAATTTTGATAGTAGTATTGCATGATCTTGGGTATCAAAGGCTTTTGATAAGTCAAGAAATATTCCGGCCAAATTTTTTTCGCAGTTTTTAGCTTCAAAGGTTCTCGTTCTGAGGCGAAATGAGCCCGCTAGTTTGAGAACACCTCGCCATCCAACTTTCAACTGCAATGAAAACCATCTCGACGATAATATATTCAAGATCTCTGACTTTCCGGTCACATGCTCACGAGCAGTATGCCACTTGGGGATAACAGTTATTATTTACATATGGAAATCTATTTACTATCAAATTGATGGCATAATTTGCCCTTGTTTTGTTAGGGGCCTTATAAGCCTTTTCCGATGATTATATCAGTCATTAACAAAACCTGTTTTCCTCCTATTAGTCCTATAACAATGTGTATAAAACATTATTAGACATTTAGTTTGCAAACCGTGTTTTGTCTACTATTTCATTTTCAGTTTAGTGATTTTTCTTTGTTTTTTCTTTTTTTTTTACATGTTCTTCGTAGACAAATGATTTGAAAGTCAAAGTATAGAGGCGTCCGGGCATACTGCTCGTGAGCATGTGATAGGAAAGTCAGAGATCTTGAATATATTATCGTGCGAGAGGGTTTTCATTGCAGTTGAAAATTGGATGGCGAGGTGTTCTCGAACTAGCGGGCTTATTTCGCCTCAGAATGAGAACCTTTGAGGCTTAAAACTGCCAAGCGGTTTCTGCAGATGCTGTGTTTTCTTCTCTTAATATTTTTGTCGAAAGTGAACGGGCAAATGCAGATTAAGTTGGATAAATAGAATATATTTAATTTCAACACGTATGTAGCAGAAAGTTGGTTGTATTAAGGTATCAGCCACCCTTAAAATTGCCATTTTTCCATACTTGAGGTTTCAACGTTTTCAAATAGATATGCTTGAGAGCTTTCTTTTAAAAAAAAAATCAGAAGAAAATATTATTTCTGTCGAAAGATATCGAGGGTAAAAGATTTTTTTTCGTTAATTATTTTAATTGATCGTTAACAAGATCTGTCACACCCGTGTCATATATCAATTAACTTGCCTGTGAACTGGTAACGTGATACCGAGTGCGTACTTAGACACAACACGTGCGAATTGTCTTCGCGTTGTTTATAGCCTTTAGTATTCTCCGTGGATATTTAGCGTTTGTTTCGGTGAAAATGCCGCCAAAAAAAAAGAAAAGGTCGTGTC